TGTTTAATATCCCCTCTCTGTTACTACACACATACCAGGCCTATTTGGGAGATTGCTAGAGTCTCAAAGCCTCTTGCTCACCTCATCTCCCAAATCCCTCACCCAAGTCCTGACTCATCTTCTCTTATTGCTGGAATTAGGTCATGGGCAAAGCTCCAGCAATGACTTTTGAGCCACCAGGAGTCCTCCAGCTGAATGTGATCCTTGTCTGCTTTATATTTTGAACCTGGTCTTAATTTTTTTCATTCAAGATTGTCAGTATCATTTTCTGTAAGTGATTTTTAACTTCTTTTGGGTCACAGACTGACTGTCTTAAAAAAATCTGATGAAATCTATGGACTCTCCAGAAAAATGTTCAAATATGCATATGCAAATTATTCTTTCTTTATATATCCGGTGGCCCGTAAACACTGTCTCATGTGTTAATTACACATGTAGCTTTTCCCCCATCCTTCCTTCAACACACAGACCCACACGAGTTTAGGGTTTGTGGTTTGGAATACATGATGCGATACCTTCTCTATACCCATGGACATTGGTAGACAAGAAAATGGCTGTAGTTTTTGCTTAAAAAATCGAAATAAAAGCTGAGAAGTATCTTATGCAAAAACAATTATCCTTTTAAACCAGGGCCTCCTGAATGATTTAGGTACAGTGTTGCCTCTTCCATCATTTGTAATGCAAATCAGGGTTTCCATAGCAGTAAATAATAGTACCCAACATTTAATGGAGAGCTTGCCCTTGGCTGTGTAAACCTTTCCATAAATCATTTCATTTAATCCTCACAACAACTCTATGAGGTTCAACTCTTATATTCTTATTTTGCAGTGAGGAAACCCAGGTGTGTTCATTTTCTGTATCTGCTGTAACAAATCAGCACAAACCTGGAGACTTGAAGCCAATGAAAGGTATTTCCCTCACAGTGTTGGAGGTCAAAGTCCAAAATTGGGGTGTTGGCTAGGCTGTACTGCCTTTGAAAAGTCTGAGGGAAATTTCATTCTGTGCTTCTTTCAGCTTCTCCTTAGCTAGTGGTCACTCACTCCAGTCTGCCTCAGTCTTCACATGGCCTTCTCCTCTTCTCTTTGCATTTCTTCTGTGCTTCTTATGAGGACTCTTATCACAGGACTTAGGGTCCACCTAGATAGTTCAGGATGATCTCATTTTGATGTTATTAACTCCATCAGCAAACTCCCCCCCCCCCTTTTTTCAAATAAAGTAACTTTCACGGGCTCTGGAAATTTTGATGTGGATAAATCTTGCTGGCCATCATTCAACCTGCTACATAAAGCATAGGCAGGTTATAGTACATCAGTGGTGAATCTGGGGTTCTTACTCTTATGCTGGAGCCTTAAGACCCTGTAATAACCTCACACTTGATAACTGTTGACTTCAGAACCTCTTCTGGGCTTACTCTCAGTCAGAGGGAGAGTGGTACCATGTGCTAACTGGCCACTTGCTGAGAGAGCTGGGCCCAGTTATGTATCAGTCCTAGTTCTAGAGGAACTATGAAACTGCAAAGAAATAAAGAGTCTGAAGCCAGGACAACAGAGCCAAATATTGCTTGAGGCACAGAGTGCCGAGATCTCGTGTCCCTCCTTGCTTTCTCCAGTAAGGGGCTCCATGGGAATCAAGAAGAGAAAGGACTTGGAAGCGTCTCGGAAGCCTGCTAGGCCGTGTCTGGGTCCTGCTTGGCCAGAAGGGCAGTGCTCCTGTAGAAATATTTGGCAAAAGTATCATGCATATTGAAAGAAGTTAAAGAACATAAATAAGTGGAAGCAAAGACATCCCATGTTCATATATTGGAAGACAATCTTATTAAGATATTAATACTACCTAAAGCAATCTATAGTTCATGCTTATCGAAATCTCAATAATATTTTTGCCAAAGTAAAAAGAAATAATTCTTACATTTATATGAATTCTCAAGAGATCTTGACTAGACAACACAATTTTGGGGAAAAAGAGAACAAAGTTGGAGAACCCACACTTTCTGATTTTAAAACTTACCCTAATGCTACAGTAATCAAAATAGTTGGTCCAAACCAATGGAATAGAAAGCCCAGAAATACACCCTCCCATATAAGGTCAAATGCTTTTCATTTTCCAGAAAGGTGGCAAGATCATTCTTTGGAAGAAAAGAGTCTTTTCAACAAATGGTTTTGGGAAAACTGAATATCCTCATGCAAAAGAATAAAGTTAGACCCTTACCTTACATCATGTACAAAACTTCACTTAAAATGGATCAAAGACCTGAATGTAAAAGGTAAAAAACTACACGACTTTTAGAAGAAACCATAAGAGAAAAAACTTCATGGCATTGAATTTGACAATGATTCTTGGGTGTGACACCAAAAGCACAAGTAACAGAAGAAAAGATTATAAGCGAACTTCATTAAAATGAAAAACTTTTGTGTATCAAAGAACACTCTTAGCAGTGTGTAAGGTACATAATAAGATAAAATACTTGCAAACCATTAATCTCATATCTTATAAGGAATTAATATCCAGAGTCTATACAGAGCTCCTAAAACTCAACAACAACAAAAAAGCAAACAATCCAAGTCAGAAATGGTCCAAAGACAGACACTTCTCCAGAGAAGACCCACGAATGGCCTATAAGCACATGGAATGATGTTCACCATCACTAATCATTAGGGAAATGAGAATCAAAACCAGGAATATTGAAATATCCCTTTACATTCATTAGGATTGTTATAAAACAAAACAGAAAACAACAAGTCTTGGTGAGGATGTGGAGAAACTGAACATTTGCGTATTGCTGGTGGGAATATAAAATGCACGGTGATTGTGGATGACAGTATGGCAGTGCCTAAGAGTTAAACATAGAATCGCCATGTCGTTTACAATCCTATTGTGTGGGTATATACACAACATAATTGATAGCTAAGGCTTGAACATTTATTTGTATTCATAGCAACATTATTCACAATATCCAAAACATGGAAATGAGCCAAGTATCCTTTAATGAATTAATGGGCAAACAAAATGTTGGGTATATACATATCATGGGATATTATTCAGACTTAAAAATAGATGAACTTCTCATACATGCTGTAACATAGATGAACCCTGAAGACATGCTAAGTGAAATAAGCCAGACCTGAAAGTACAGACATTGTATGATTCTACTTGTATGAGGTACCTGAAACAGTCAGATTCATAGAAACAGGAAAAAAAACCAACCCAGAGGTTACCAGAGGCTAGGGGGAGAGGGGTAGGGAATTACTTAATGGGCACAGAGTTCCAGCTTAGGGTGCTGAGAGGTTCTGGAGATGGATGTTGGTGACAGTTACATAACAACATAAATGTACTTAATGCCACTAAATTGTACACTTAAAATGGTTAAAAAGGTGAATTTTATGTTATGATTATTTTACCGTAATTTGAAGAAATGCAGTGTGTATTCAGTGGTGATGGGGACATTGCATTTGCTCTCTGTGAATCCATAAAGGAGAAGCAGCCAGGCTGCGGGGTCTGGAGGGGGTCGGGGGGTCATCCTAGGCAGGACCGGATTCCTTTGCATTGGAATAGGTCTTAGAGGAGCCTTGTCTCAATAGGGCTTCTGAGTAAATTCAATTTTCTCTATGTATTTAGAACATTACATCTCACACAAACAATGTATTTCACCTCCATTTTACACATAAGAAAAAGTTTCAAAAATACATAGTGTTATATATTCTATGATGGTGAATAGTTGTGTTAGGAGAGAGAACTGTCTAGAAATTCCCCCAAAAGACTGGGATTACTTCCGAGGACAGAGAGGAAGTTAAAAACAGATATGGGTAGTTGCAAGCGGTAGGTATTTTATTTTATTTTTATTCTGCCCCCTTCTAATCTTGCTTTACTTGAGATTAAATACCTTTAAATTCACACTATCTTCTTCAGAAACTAAATAAAATTGTTCTGTTTAAGGTACAACTCCAGCAGTCCCAGCCAAGCTTTCCAGCTGTATCACCCATGTTTTTAACCAAGAAGGGCAGCTCGAAGTGTTCCTAAAACCAGAAGACACTTTATGAAGCTGGAAGAGGCAAAATCTGTTTTTAAATTTGTCAGCAATTTTCTTTTTTTTTTTTTTAGTTTCTTTTTTTTTTAAATTTATTTAGTTATTTTTCAAGTACAGTTTTTTGTCTATTTTTCCCATCCCAGCCTCCCCTGCCCCTTTCTCCCCACCTCCCTCCCCTTTCCTCCCCCCCCTTAGTTCTCGTCCCTGTGTCCTTCCTATTTGTTCCTCCAAATCCCTCCCCCTTTTTCCCCTTAACACCCCTTCCTTCTCCCCTCTTGTCACTATCCCCTTGTTCTCTATTTCAGTGTCTTTGTTTTTTGGGGTTTTTTTTTTCTGCTTACTTGTTTGTTTTGTTGTTTAGCTTCCTGTTAAAGGTGAGATCATATGGTATTTGTCTTTCAGCACCTGGCCTATTTCACTCAGCATAATGCTTTTGGAGAAGGGGAGCTACAAAGAGAGAAGAAAGGAGTATTTGAAAAATGTGATTCTTACATACCTCTGCTCAGTGTAACCCAGGTGTAGGCTAGATATGAACTTGAATTCCTCACCCTCCCCATCTTTTGCTCATTTCACATGTCATGACTGAGCCTGACACTATTGCAAGAAATCGTTTTCATATTCAGCTTTTTAAGATTTAGTTTGCATCTTCTACCCAAAGTAGTTTTTTGCAAATTGAATCTTTGAGGGGAGACAGAAACAATTTTCTTTCGGGAGAAAATATTTACTCATTTCACTTTGGCAGGGAAGAGAATTAAATGTGACTTTTCTTTTTCTTTGGGTTACTTTAAATTTTAATTATCAATAACTATAACATGGACAAAAACTAAGGGGGTGGAAATGGGAGGGAGGTGGGGAGCACTGAGGGGTGGGCTGGGATGGGAGTAAAAGACAGAAAACTGTACTTGAACAACAATTAAATAAATAAAATTTAAAACTCTATGACATATATAGAATTATTATCTTTGGGCAGGTAATTTTTGAATCATTTGGCTTTGAGATGGCCAGAGGTGGTTAAAACCACAACAACTCCAGTGATGCTGTGAGCCATTAATTTCGATATGCAAGTTACAGCCAGTACCACCATCACTGTCCGCGCTGACAGGGAACTTCTGATGATGACTTGCCATATGCCAGACACTGAGGTAAGCACTTTACATGAATTACTACAGTTGAACCTCCTCAACAAATTCTGTGATGGGGGACTATTATTCTCATTTTACTGCTGAGGAAACAGAGATTAACTTGCCTGATTTCAACACATCCAGTAAATGTTAGAGCTGGAATTTGAACAAAGAGAGGTGCCAAGGAATTTGGTCAAACCAAGGGTGTGTACTGACCTATGGGAAATGGAGAACAATAGCCACTTTCTGTTTATCACTGTATTTGCCACAACGTTGCACATTGTGTTTTCTATGTGGTGGCATGAGCTAGATTTGAGTTCGTGTGAATGAGCAAAGCCTAAAGGATAGTTAGCACTGTGTTAAGTATTTCCCATTTTAATTTGTAAGTTGTTGCATTGTGGCATTTTATGGACTCATTTTCATGCACTTATATTAGGTAGCCTGTTAAAATAAGAGGGTGAGTTGTGGATTTTTGGTGAGCACTGCATTTTTGGGGCAGCGCACAAGCTACAGGACCTGGGAATACTGAAGAACAACATGTTCCAATTCTGCTTTGTCCTGCCATGACGTGGTCATGATGACGTGGTCATGATGATGTGGTCTCATTGGATGTTCTTCTACACATTACAGAGGGTTTCCAGAAAACTCCTTCAAGTGAGCTTTCTGTTCCTCAAAATGTTGACAGCAGTTCACCCTCATTATAGCACGATGCTATAGCCCTTCAGCCACGTGAAAGCAACAGCTGTGTCTGACGTGCTCACCTTTTATCCCTTGTGATGAGCATGGTGCCTGGCTCATTAGTATGTACTCATGGAAAAAGATGAATAAAAATGAACACCTGATAGATTGGATAATAGCTAAGTGAGGTCACATGAAGGGGGCAGGGTGGCCAGCAAAATTCTATAACAACCCATCCAATGGATCAGCAGAGAGGAACAGAAAGACTGTGGTGATTAGAAGAGGTTGTTATTCAGTAATGGGAGGACAGACAAGTGACTGAGAAGTAAGTGGGGGTGCCGTCCAAATGCCAACCACCTGCTGCACACATCCCCATCCCGAGGGCAGGGTTGTTCTTGGGATGGAGCTGAAGGTGGGAGGTTATGCCAACAGACTTTGAGTGTTGTTTCTTTTGGCCAACCAAACCATTGACATCCCTGGTATTATTAGTATTCTCTTCATCTTTCTTTTGATTGCAGGCTCATCAAACAACATTTTGACTCCTATCTAGTCTGTTTACACAGAGAGAATGTTCTGATATGGATTTCACAATTTCCCTTCACTGTTCTCCTTGAAAGTGATTTATCATACAAAATCAATAGAGAGATTTGCAATCAAACTTTGGTGCATGCATGGCATTCTGAGGCCAAATGTGCTGGTTTTATCCACAAGAGGATTTCTGAGCTCTGTGACAGGAGGTTTCTCAGAAAGACTCTTGGGAAAAGTAATCCCTGAGTTCTTGAATATTTATAACTTTTTCGATGGGCTTCATACTTGAAGCCTAGTTTGGTTGAATATAAAATCTTTGGCTCATACTTTATTGTCTGGAGCATATTTACAAGGTTGTTCCATTGTTTTCTGGCAAAAAATGTGCTTCAAAGTCTGACTTAGTTTTCAGGGTTTTTTTCTTGGATGCATAAAATTGTTTTTCTTCATTTAAAAATAGAACAGTTTTATTAGAAATGTTTCACTGTTGATGGTTCATAGTTGAACTTTTCAGATAACAGCCTTCTAACATGTAGATGTTAATCTTGTTGTGAAGATTTTCTGAATTATAGTCTTATATATTTCTTGTCTTTCACTGGGGCAACATTTTTCTTTGGGAATTTATGTTAGATTTTCTTTATATCTCCGTTCAATTCTTTGATAGAATCTTTTTATCCCTTTATTTATTTTTATTTTATTAATTTCACTCTTTTTCCTTCTGGCCTCAATACGGTGTCTTCCATGGTCTCTATTTGCTTCTTTGTTCTTAATTTGGTCTTCATTTGCAAAATATTTTTCTTTCTGTTCTTCTCTTTTTTTTCCATTTCTGAGTTTCCAGATCTTTTCTCACACCATCGTGTTTCATATCATCCTAGTCATCCCCTTTCTGAACTGTTCTAATTCTGACTGGTATGAATTACAGTTCTGATTGTTTTTAAGATTTTTTAGCTTATTTTGAAATCCTGTGTTATAATTTTCATCTTTGTGTCCACATTTGTAGTATGTTCTCATTATCTGTCGGAACTATTTGGTTCATTTTTATCTTTATTCTTGTCATACCCTGGTATGGGGTTTTATTGACATCTATTTTTATTTTCCACATATAAATGAAATAATTTTCTTGGATGACTAGAGGTAAATTTCTCTATAGGAATCTCTTCTTTGCTGTTACCATGACATAGTAAAAAAATACGGCCTCTTATAGATCACTTCTCTGTCTCTCAGGGCTATGGAGGATTCGCAAATGCTTCTTGCCTCTAACTCTGTGTTGCCTGTAAAGGGCTAAGAGTCCTTCTTTCCAGAGCAGCGCTGTTACCTTTAAATGCGTTTGTTGTTCAGGACTTTCTGGGCTCTGTCTCAGACACCTCCTTCTCTGGTATTCGAAGCTTTCGTCTCCCTGGAATCTGTAGTGTTTCATTTTGTCTTTATCGATCAGCAGGGCTTTTTTCCTCTTATTTTAAGGTAGAGGAAGGGAGGGAAAAAGAATGAGTCCTTGTCTTTCCAAAAGGGAGTATTTTGGAGTGTTTCTGAGTCACATGTGGGCTAAGCCTGCTTCAGCATAGTTTAAATTCTCATGGCCCCTACTGGCCTCCTATGCTTTCTTTGTACTTGTCCTCAGCATCAAGCCTGCGAGGACAGTCTTTGATTTTCACTGGTAATTTTCAGATTTGATTGCTTTAGGTTCTCTCCTGAAAAGGATCCTCTCCTTTAGGGGTGAATATTTGTTGATTTTGAGTTGTAGCTTGTGGAATTGTCAACATCCCTGTCCTCTGTTTTTCCCCTGCCAACTCCTCATCAGTGCTGATCCCATACCAAGCTTGCTGCTGTCTGCTGTTCAGGTTACATGAACTTATACTAAGGAGTTTTGGGGGATATGCATGTTGTATGTATTTTTTTTGCTATCCTATGTGTTCTGTCTGGTTTTCATGATTAAGCAAAAGCATACTGCTGCCATGCTTCCAGCATTGGAAATCCCAGTATATTTTAAAGCAAGTCTATAGTGGAAAATTTAGCTTTTTATTTCTGGTATCACACCATATGGATTTTTACTATTTCCAATAGAACGGCAGTATTGGAATGTTAGAATATGGAACAAAGCTGCTTGCTGCAAACTTGTATGTAATTCAGGCAAAAATCATAGGCAAAGAGCTTGGATGTGTGTAACTTGGGTTCAGAACAAGACTGGGAAAACTAATTTGTCTTCCTCATTTTAGGGATTGGTCTAGAGAGTTAAGCTCCTCCTGAGATTATCTTGTTACATTATTTTCTCTTTGTAATGAACCTAAAGGATAGGACACTTTATTTATAAGTTGAACAACAAATAGGCATCACATCAGGCAAATGGCTATGTAGGTCACCCCCAAAAAGGGCAGGAACTAAGCTGTGAGCTTGTTTAGCTAAATACCACTGGGTTGCTGATTAGACAAAAATAGAATTCTAGTAAATCTGAGCTGGTGAAAGTTAATTCCTATGTCTCAATTTCAATAGGAAGAAATCTAATCAAATAGATACAAATGAAAAAAAAAAGATAAGTGTGAGAAAACAAAACACAGAGAAAGAATTTGGCCATGGAGGCCACCTTTGACAGGAGGGCTTCTGTCACATCTTAAAGCAAACAGAGATAGTTATGTCCCAAGTCTCTCACTAAATCTAAGACCGACGGATGACCTTTGGTTTCCCCAAATGCATCTACTGTGGATTTAAGGGACAGCTCACCTTTAAGCAGTTGAGGCACTGTGCTTTCCAAGTTTGGAACAGGGCCAGTCAGGACCTACTAGTGCTAAAAGGACAGCTCAGTACATTGCAAGGACACTTAGAGGTATGTTGCTCTTGTTGTTAACTAGTGCCTGCCTGTAAGTGATTAAAGCCACATCTACGCCCAACGATGCATCCAGGGATCAGTCTGACTCACTTCGAATTGATTCCCAGCACTTTCTCACTTTTATTCCAGGACCCTAAGTATTTTTCTTATTTTTTTTTTCTGTGCTTATACTTGTCCTCCACCTGTGGGTGGTGACTGGATTTTTAAGGCAAACTGTGGGCCATCTCACAGAAGGCAACTGGGCATTTTGTTAAAGAGTGGGTAAGGCGGAGGTATTCTTATATCCATCACTGGAACAATTGTATTGAATTTGTTTATCAGTGCCGTCTCTCTGAGGCTGCAGATTAGATATCCTGCTGTGATAATGGAAGGATTCTCAAACTCTATTAATTTTGTATAATTTTTGGAAGTGGAAAGGTAGCAATTGTCACTGGAAATTAAACATTAAGGTGAATTCATGTAGGTTAACATGCACTTAAAATGTCACTTACTTCTGTCACCTGAACTCCAAAAGCTGTATAGTTATGTGTGTAAACATATGTCAATAGGAAACTATATTTTAAGGAAGACCAAAATAAATAGGAAAGACAAAGTTTTGTTTGAAATACAAAGGAAGAAAATTAAATCTGTGAGCTCCGAAATACCTCTGATTCCATTATGACTTGGGTCAAATTGCTACAGTTGAGAAGATGTCTAGTTTGCTCAGCTGGGAACGTGGAACTAAAATTGGGTTCATCATAAGATACTTAAGCTTGTCTTCAACTGTCTCAATTGTTGAGAACTCAGCAAACACATAGTAAAATCTGAAAGGATAATGTGAATCTTTATTTGTCCTTACCTTTTCTCAACCTTGTTGTTGAGCTCCAGAGAGATGAATTAGCATCGTGCAGTGGCATTGCCTCTGCCTGAGTACATAAATGACAGATTGAGACAGCTCTAATACAGCCAGAGAATGACAAAGCATCTCTGAATGAATGCTTAATTTAAAGATCCGGTT